GTAGTTTGAAAAGTTATATATATGCCAACTTTTATATATATATTATCAAGATATGTTGCACATTTATGATTTGATTTGTATTCAGTTATGACTCATGTTGCATAGCGTTGAAGATACATTTTGGTCATATTAATTATGTGTATACATTGAGATAAAATCTTGCCAATTGTACTTGAATCAATACACCTGAAGTGTAGGTTATATGATCGGTTCCAAAATAAAGATATGTTTAATAGATATGATATTTAGCAAGATAGTGCAGTTGACACTTATAGTGTAATAGTATATAAATATCATAGTGTATGAAATATCTTAAAGTAGTATAGATATCTGAATTATTATAATAGATGACCTATGATATAAGAAAAATTATGATGGTACCAATGAGAAATGTATTCAGATATCATAGTAAAATAACATGCGGAATGTAAGTTAAAGGAATTTTATGATACCGGTACATAATGGAACCGATGAATAATATGCATATGCATAATGGAATGGACTAATAAGTAAGGGATCTGAAATATATGTACATTTTGATGTCGACATAATGATAATGATCATAAGTTTATCATGGACCCGAAGTCCAATGAAATATGGATTTTTAAATCCACACTGTACAGTGTCTTGCATCATTTTGAGTCTTATTTTCATGTGCATGAGTGAGTCATAAGTTAATGGATATTTATTGCATATATAGGAAGTTGTTAGATGCATTACTCATTGTATATTTGTTAATATGTTATCATATTTTCTATATCTCATATTGCATGTATTAATTTCATACAATAACTGTGGTGTATGTAAATGTTCATTCAAAGTATAGTAAGGTATGTTTACAACTTTGATTGAAAATTAGAAAGAGATTAATATTCCAATGGGCTTATAATTGTGATGAAATTATTGATGACACCGATTTAATTGCACATTATGAATTAAGAAGAGTTCCTGAAGAACTTATATACGACCTATTGTAATATCCAGCCCTACAAAGTTTATATCTTGAATTTGCAATTATTATCAAACTCTTGAAAATCTATGTACGTGACAATATAATTAACATCTCAACCTGAAGTTTGAGCATATGAGAGTTAATGAAATTAACTATTTGTATTTGCAAGAGAGCTATCGTGTCAATTATGAAACGTCTAAAAAATATCAATGGATCACTTAACAATGTTTTTTTATGGTCCAGAAGAACCATAATTAGCGTATATAATTACGTGTGTTATATTATAATTCATATGAGAAGAATGATATTAATAGTATCAAGCTAAGTTTTGTCATCAAATTATTACTCGTATTAATGAATGTTTGGTCAAATAATGATCATCAATATTTATTATCAACGACTTCCAGAAGAAGTCATAACCGTAAAATTTTATCCTTTGAATCAACTATTAAACAGAGATTTGAAATGGTGATATTAGAGATAAACACATATATGGTGAAATGAAGACACTTCACATGTTCACATGAAGACTTGAAGAATTGAAGATGCAACTTCAGCTTAGGAGAGTCGAAGATCAACAAGTGATATTTTACCAACTTATTAGAAGATATCCAACATATTGGATTCATTGTTGCGACACTAGAAGATCTCAAGTTATGTATTCATCAGGGGGAGAAAATACGCGCTGCACTCTTTTTCCCTTGACCATGGTTTTGTCCCAAATTGGGTTTTCCTGGTAAGGTTTTTAATGAGACAACATCTCGAGCGTATTACGAAAAATGATGTACTCTTTTTCCTTCACTATGTTTTTATCCCATAGGGTTTTTCGTAGTAAGGTTTTAATGAGCCACAATCTTCGATAATGGACATCCAAGGGGGAGTGTTATGAAATATTTGTGGTTATCCATTATCCTCCTTTGTATCATTCCGGAACAATCTAGATCTAGGTTTTATATTCTTATATAAACCCCATTATATGGAATAGAAGTACAATGATATATTCTTTTTCAATCTCTCATCTTTCCCCTTATTTTACAACATTAATTACTTTCTATTTTTATTTTATTTTTTGAATAAATTACTTTCTATATTGACCAACTCGTTAAAAAATCAATTTAGACTTGCTCTCCCTTCTTTTTCTCGCAAGTATTGTTACAATTTGCCGCAATTCAATAATTGGTGTGTTTTTTAAATCTATTTTTAACCAACTATACTTGGTCCAAGTTTGATGATTAAGACCCTGAAACAAGCATCCACCATATATGTCTCCTAATTTGCTGTATGTATTTTTAAACTTCTCCTGTTGACCAAAATTATGGTCGATGAGAATCTACTAGGATAAGAAGAAAATATATCTCACGCAATAAATAAAAACATAAAACATTCAATAAGCACTAAAATATGCTCTAATTGCAACATCACTTGCTAACTTTTCATTTATAATAGCTTCATATATAGAAACACCAACACATTACATTTTCTACATACACTTGAGTGTACCTCCAAGCATACCCGAGTGTATGATAGACATGTGTAGATCCCAAACTCTTAAGATTGCCATTTCGAGAAACTAAGCAAAGGAAAGCAAAATCTAATATTTACCATGAAATATGTACATGCATTACCCCAAAGTTTCTTACAAAAGGCAAACAAAACCCAGATATTTTTTATCTCTAAAATTCCATTCGAAGCAACGGAAAAAGGAGGGACTAATCAATGAAAAAAAATTATATCTAGAACTAAAATCCATTAACATCTAGGATTTCATATCTAACTAGATGAGCTGATTATGAATGTTGAGATTGTTGACATAAGCTGATTGCAGCGGAAGACAGGGTGCTGTAGATAACATCACAGTACTCTTTTCTGCTTCGGCTTTTCATCATTCCCCCTCAGCTTCTGCTTCAAGCATGAACTTGGGAAATTTTAGGAAGCAGCTAAAAACAAGTCATATTTCAAAACTGAAATCATTGCAAGATTAATCTTTGGAAAAAGAAAAAATAAGTACCAACAAGTTATGCACGAATGCACCTAATGGTCATAGAAGCGGGAGCGTCTTCTTCGAGAACTGCAGACAGTATCATTACAATTTAGAAGAATTCAGCAAGAGATGCAAACAAGACTTAAATTCATTTTGTGTTGCACAAAACACATGGTACATGCATCTGCCTTCAATAATGAAAGATCAGACGATCAGGTAGAATGATCTAATGGAGAATGTAAAAGGGGGGAAAATTAAGGCTTTTAACCTTTTATCAAGCAAGTGAGTGAGGGCAAAGAGATAGAATGACAGGATTGTAACCAACAATGCAGTACAATTAACCTGAATTGAACAAGTGAGAAACAAAAGTCAAATATAATCAGACAAATGTTGCAAAAAGAAATTTTACCTCCCATAAAAAAGAATACCTGTTAATGAATATTTTAGATAATTTTCTGTTGTTCTTTATTTTAAAGATCGAACTTAAAAATACTTCCAAAAGAAAGCTTTACTTTTTAGAACATACGACATGGAAGTGATGGAATTCTAACATGAAACTTACTTTATGAAAAACATTTACTATGTAGCTTCTATGAAGCAGCACTTTTTTTTGCATCAAAAAAAAAAAAATGAAGCAGCACCTTTTAAGAAAAAAAAAGACACTGACTAACATGAAACTTGCATGACTGTAAATTGGAATTCACCAAATCAATATTAGCTTAATGAGAAGAAAATTCTAATTTCTCTCTGTTTGTCGTTTGAAATCTCTTGCAAACCACCGTTAACCATGGTTTACAGTTTATATTAGACAAATATGATTATGAGGTTGCATTCACATGCAGGCAAGAAACCTGAAGAGATGTAGAAGCAAACATTGAGAAAATTTCTGTCATACACAAAATACTCTATCTAGTAGACACATAATACCCAATTCAACAACACTAAACATAGAAGAAACTAATAAAATAGCATATGGTTCGAAAATTTAGAGGTGAGAGCAAACTAGTAGAACCACATAAAACTGAAAATATTCCAACAAGAATTGACTAGTGCTAAAAGACTAAAACTAACCTTCGGCGATTAAAATTACTTCTTGCAGGACCTCTGGAGTGTATAAATTCATCATCAAACTCATCTCCTCTATAGTCTGGAAATTCTACAGATGTCACAGAGCCATCATCTGAATTTGACGTATCATTGCTAGAACGGCGGCTTCCTCTTCTTGTATCGTTATTTCTTGACCTCCTCCTATTTCGACTATTGCGGAGATTATCAAATACTTGATACAGGATACATGACGTCCACCAATTTCCTTCATCACCAGGGAAGTCTCGAACTCGTCTGCTGTATCATCGTCACCATATTCAATCACATAATCACCCAGAACAACTCCACGCGGAACTTCTGAATGAATGGTACTAAGAACATCCACCATTTCTGATGACTGCTGGAAATTATCCCAGTCAAGCTGACGTGCAGGATCAATTTTTGATGGACGGGAATCAGGGTGTTCTTCTTGAGCATGTTTTTGAAGCTCCGAAAAAGTACCAACAAAAGAACATCGTTCTCTTCACAATAACGCTTTTTCTGATCCAGATACTCTCGGGCCTTATCAATAACAACCCAACCATTTACCTCCCCTCTACATAATGGACAAGTTGGCTTACAATTGCTTTCAGGAACTACTGCAGCTGAATTTTCATTTCCCACTGAAAATGATGTTGGTGGTGAATTTGATTGTGAAGGTATCCCATATGCAGTTTTGAAGCGATCTAAGCAGTTTGAATGCAAGTGATTGGTGTCGCACACATATGAACGACATCCTTTATCATAAGATGAGCATTGAAGCAGCACACTATTATGAGGATAATCCAAGCATACTGGACAAGATATATCATCCAGTTTGTATCCAACTGAACTTCCACTATTTCAGAAGACTTTAATCGAGGCTTAATATCTTCACCTCCACCAGTGCTTCGTTGAGGCCCTCTTTTATAAAAACACTGAAAGGCCATGAACATGCTACACCCAAAACTTGAACAATATTACATAAATCTCACAATTTTCAAGCCACTAAGAGACTCAACCAACTTCTTCACCGAACACTAGCCAATGACTAATTTACGCAATGATTTAATACATGATGCCACTTCTGCAGAAGACAACACTACCTATCAAAACATGTAAAGGTTTAAGCCACTCAAGAAAGACAAGATAAAAGAAGATGGAGAGCACAATTGAGCCTCCACAATGCAGTGATTTTTTTTTTAAAAAAAATTACCATCAAAGGCATTCATAAAAGGTAGATAGAAAAGCGAGCAAAAGTGACATTCAACTTTACAGTATTTATTTGGACCACAAAATGGCACAAGTACATCAAGGTCTACTCCCGCAGTTTCTCTAATGCACTCATTAAACTTTATAGAATTTATTTGCACTCATCAAGTAAGATTGGTCCCTTGAAAAACTAGATGATGACATAGAGGAAAGTATCCAGTTACCGTGCTTGTGCAGACGATTGGCTACTTTTTCAAACATAATCCCAAAGGTAAAAGAAGGAAAACTCATATAAGCTAACAAGTATCAACAACCACCACTCAATATAGATCTCATAGGACAAACAAGTCTAGAGAGGATCAAATGTGCGCAACCTTACCACTAATCACCATAAACCGGTCAATAACCGTGTTTGCTAAGGAGTTCAGGCAAATTCCCAATAGGCAGCTTATCATTTTACATCCAATCACAAAAAGATTTTCATAGAAAATATTATAAATCCTTGGCCCTACCTAAGTCTTAGGGTCTATGAGACCATAAACAATTTTCATTCATATAAATACCTAAACCTTCATGACAACAAATAAACAAAAACCCATAAAATTATAGATGAATAACATTGTAATATACTTAATAAGCTTATAGAAAATAAATATATCGGAAGTAAAACCCCAAAAAAATCCAAACTTCCAACTCAATTTACTAACTAATAAGATCTAAAACCCCAATTTCTTATACATACCTAAAGATTTCAAATCAATCAATAAAAAAAAAAACATTAAATCCACTATTTATATTAAAATAAAGATTATAACAAGTATAATTAAACTGGATCATCAAAATGAGCAACATACACTCACAAAACCCCACAAATCAGTTCAATCATAAAACTGTCAATAAAAATCATATATAAGAGAAAATTTAAATTTAATTCCATAACTCAATTATTATATAGTTAATCTGAAAAAGAACAGGGCAAAAAATCACAAACCCGGAAAAAGTAAGCAATTGAATTGAGTAAAGAAACAGAAACAGATTAAATTTGGAATAAAATTAAAATACCCAGATTGTAAAAATGGGAAAAAAAAATGGATGAAAATTTCAGATACGAAACCTCAGTGAAGAAGAAGCATGAAGACGACATCAGAGAGGTTTGATTGTAGAAGTCAGCTCTTTGGGAGTAGGTAAACTCTTACTTTTTCTCTCTCCTTTATAGCGATTTTTTTTTTTTTTTTTAAAAAAAAAAAGAAAAAAACCTAATAGAAATTTTTTTATTTTAAAAATCAACTTTATTTTTGCTATTTAATCTGATGTGAATTAATTTAAGGGTCGTTTGGTTCACACGGGTAAACGAAATGGAATGAACAAAGGAAATCAAAGAGAATGGAATGAAACCCTTTCTTTATGCTATGTTGTTTGTTTTAAAAAAAATCAAAGGCATGGGAATGAGGGGTTGTGCATTGGTGGTAGTGACTTCTCCAACCACTCAACCACCCAACCACCATCTCACCGCTCGTTGTCGTACTCCTCCACCATCGCTGCCCGTCGCCACACTTTCCCCACCTCTCGCCGCCAGAAAACCACCTTCCCTGCCCACGAAAACCTTCCCCCCGCCACAAAAAACCTAGAAACCATCCTCGTCCCTTAAAACCGCCAGCCGTCACTCCTTACCCTCGAAACCCTAGCCGCTAGGGTTTCGAGGGTAAGGGAGGTGACGGCCGGCAGTTTTAAGGGACGAGGATGGGTTTTCGTGGGTGAGTTAAGATTTTCCGGGAAGGGAGAATTCTTTAGAGGGAGGTGCGACGAGTTTTGATTTGGAGATGGGAAGGTGCGGCACCGAGGATTGGGCGAGCTCCGGCGACACCCGACGAGGACTAGGCGAGCTACGTCGAGGTGGTTGTGCGGTAGGGGTAAGTGGGTAAGGTAGTGGCTGGTGTGTGTAGTGGTGGCTTAGGAAAAGGAATGGAAAAGGCTAAGGGGGTGGGGAATCAAGATAGAAGGATTTTGGGTAAAGTAAAAAAATAAAAATGGGTAAAGGGAATGAAAAAAATGACAAACAAACAGCAACAAAGGGAATGAGGCATATTCATTCCCTTTCCTTTGATTATTAACCCCAACAAAATGGCCCCTTAATCTCATCGGATCTTTATTAGAATTTAATTTGTCAAAATGGAAGGCCAAGACTTTATCTCTGGCTGATCGTAAATGCGTAATACACTTGCGCAAGCCTGCTTATCCTCGATCCCTTACTGTACTATGCAAACCACCAAATTACCTCGTTCTACTTGCGATGAAATTGATTAAAAAAAAAAAAAAGAGGTGTTTTCTTTGGGGTGGTGATGAGGAGCATCGTAAAATTCATTTAGTGGCATGGGAAACCGTCTCTAAGCCAAAGAGAGAAGGTGGATTAGGTCTCCGTTCAATGAGGAAAGCAAATGCAGCCTTCTTACAAATTAGGATGGAGGGTGTTGACGAAACCGAATGCATTGTGGTATAGAGTTCTCATAAATAAATATTGTGGAGGGAGATGTGATATTGACATGTGTCAATCAAAAGTCGGATGCTCAAATGCTGGAAAGGATTGTGGAAAATATTGACATTTTGAAGCAAGGCATTAGCATGGATGCAGGAAGAGGTGATAAAACAAGCTTCTGGAAACGCAATTGGGCGCTTAAAACCCCTTGTTGGAAGTTGTTGACCCTATGCCTCCCTTAGCAAGCCAAACCTTTCTGTGAGGGATTTTTGGGATGCAAACATTGGGTGGAAGTATGAATTATTTGCGGATTACCTAGATGCTAAAACTCTGGCTGCAATTGCTTCTCACGAGCTAGCTGAAGATGAGGATGCAATTGATGAAATTTTCAGGAAGGGTACTTCTTCAAGGGGCTTCTCCATTAGCTCTGCCATAAAATTATTAGAAGAAGTTAGGATTTACCTCATGACAGATGCAGGCTGGCAGAGCATTTGGAGGGCTAGAGTGCACAAAGAATTCATATGTTTATTTGGTTGGCAATGAGGACAGGTTAATGACCATTCCAATAGGTTATTCGCAAATTGACTAATGACCCTCAATGTGGTGTTTTTGGAGCTGGAGAAGATAATATAGATCATATATTGCGAAGGTGCGCCCTGCTGCTACATGGGTTTGGCATAAGTTAGGCTGGAAGAACTATGAAATTCAAGCTCTTTTTCATGTGTTGATTGGTTGTCAATGGTATAGCTCGAGTAAATCTTTGGCTGCGGAGAGCATGCCACTATGTTTTTTGTGTGTTGTTGGTAGTTATGGAGATGGAGGAATGAAAGAGTCTTTTCGAGAGATGTTAATATTCCCTTTGACAGGAAGCCTTCCTCATTGCTAGAGTAGGGGATATAAATTGAGCTATTGATAAGTCTAGCATGATTGATCAAGATATGGGGAGTAAACGAACTGAAATTTTTATCGAGTGGCAATTCCCAAGAGATGGTTGGGTAAAACTCAACACTGATGGTGCCTCGAAGGGCAATCCAGGTCAAGCCGGTGCTGGTGGTTTTATTGGAAGTGAAAGGGAGCTTTTCGAGATGTTCGCGGCCAACTATGGGGTTTGTTCTAATACGAAAGTTGAGCTGCTGGGGGTGCTTCGTGGGCTTGCAATAGCGTGGAATGCAGGGCATAAAAAGGTTATAGTCTCCCTTGATTCGGAAGTGGTGGTGCGTTTATTATTTGAGTAGTGTCCTGCTCACTCTCCTTTCATTCATATTGTTCATAAGTGCAAAGCTATTATCTTGAGACATGGGTGGGAAGTTCGTGTGCATCACTGTTATAGGGAAGCCAATCGAGTGGCCGATTGGTTAGCCAACTTTAATTTGGTATAACTTCGTCTAAGAAATTAGTGATGTTTGGAGCAATCCCTAGGGATCTTAGTGCCATTTTATTGGGGGACCTTTGTGGTGTGGCTCGTGCTCGGCTTGTTCTAGAGAAGAAGGCGTAGTGCTTGCTGTGTTTCGTGTAGTTTAGGTTGTTGTTGCTTTGTTTTTTTTTTCTTTCAGTTCTGTTTTCTTCTTTGTTTATTTTGTCTTTGTTTTCCTTTTCTCTTGTTTTTGAGGTTTGTAGCCTCTCTTTCAACAAAAAAAAAAAAAAAAACTGTAATTGAATTTATTTTTTTATGGTACATACGAGTGACCGAGTGCAATATACGGAGGGTGAACCCGGAAAGAACATTGGCAAAAAAGGAACATTACATACATTTACAATGAACATGAGCATTTGAAAGTGAGGGATAGCCCAAGTGGTTAGAGCTTTTTTCCCGTTATCAAGAGATTCTGGGATGAAAGTTGATCATGACAATAATCTTTTAGGAGCTCCTCTATAGGTGATTGATTTTGGATCTAAAGAGCATTCGTAATATTTATAATTAAGAAAAAACTTAATGATATTATGCAATGAACATTATTTTATATATACCTAGCATGATCCAAAAAAAAAAAAATCGAAAAACATTTAACAATAAATAACGAACATTTATGTGATTAGTAATTACATATATAATTAGTAATTACATATATAAAAAGAACATAGTGCTAATAATTTTCTGTACATTACAAATAAATTTTAAGTACATCATGTTTTTTCAGGTAAATAACATTATTAATCATATAAAGAAAATCACAAGAAATACACATGACCATTATTAAGATGAATTTATAACTATATACTACCTCCGTATTTTATTACTTGCTCCATTTTCTCCATGCGGAGCTTTAGGAAAAATAGTTTAAAGTAATAAAATATGAAAGAAGTGGAGTTAGTGGAAGAATAAAGTATGATAGTTGGAAAGAGAAA